GTGCGGCTGCGGGGCAGCCCTGGGAAGCGGGGCCCCCTGCCAGCCGGGTTCGGGCGCTGCCGGGCCCCTTGTTGCTTCCGCTCTGACACTGGACCCCCGCAGGGGCTACGCTTCTGTGCGCCTCGTGGCCTGCTGGGAATCCCGCCCTGGCCTAGCGCCCCAGTCTAGGGCTGTTGTTGGGTGACCCTGTGCGTACGGGCCGGGCAGGGCGGGGCAGCCCTGGGAAGCGGGGCCCCCTGCCAGCCGGGTTCGGGCGCTGCCGGGCCCCTTGTTGCTTCCGCTCTGACACTGGACCCCCGCAGGGGCTACGCTTCTGTGCGCCTCGTGGCCTGCTGGGAATCCCGCCCTGGCCTAGCGCCCCAGTCTAGGGCTGTTGTTGGGTGACCCTGTGCGTACGGGCCGGGCAGGAGTGTGAGGCTGCTGTGAGCACATACTAGTGGGGGTTGGAGTGTCTATGCAAATTGGGTGTATCTATGCGAATGAGATCAGCCCCTGAAGTCTCTTTGCACCACTTGCCACAGTTCACCACCAGATGTCAAGGTAGAGCTTATCCTGACCCTGCTTACATGTACTAAAAAAAAATCAACTACTCTCAGGCTACGTCTAGACTGGCATGATTTTCCGCAAATGCTTTTAACGGAAAAGTTTTTCCATTAAAAGCATTTGCGGAAAAGTGTCTAGATTGGCACGGACGCTGTTCCACAAAAGCACTTTTTGCGGAAAAGCGTCCGTGCCAATCTAGACGTGCTTTTCTGCAAAAAAAGCCCCGGTCGGCATTTTCACGATCGGGGCATTTTTGCTCAAAACAAATCTCAGCTGTCTACACTGGCCCTTTTGCGCAAAAGGACTTTTGCCCAAACGGGAGCAGCGTAGTATTTCCGCAAGAAGCACTGATTTCTTACATGCGATCATCAGTGTTCTTGCGGAAATTCAAGCGGCCAGTGTAGACAGCTTGCAGAAGAACTTGCCAGTGTAGATACAGCTAGAGTGTGTGGGCAGGGGCACCCTAGTGAGCTTTCATTCCCAGTTGGGCTGCCATGTGAAATTGACTCCTGATTTTCTTTCTTATATTATCATGTTTTAAGCACTTAATCGTGGCTATCTCCAGCCAAGGAACGCATTTTTAATGTCTGCATACTTGTGTAGCGCTTGTATTTACGTAGCTGTGCTGGTCTCTCATGCAGGGGAAGCAGAGCTGTCCCATAAATAGAGGGCTGGGTTATGCATCCTGCTCCTTCTGCCTGAGGTGGATCTGCCCTGGATGAGGAGCTGTGGGATGGGGACATAGGCCTGGGGTTCCCATGTCTGCCCAGGCTCCTGTCTGGAGGGTCAGGGACTCTGGGGGTAGAACAGGAGTGAGCCCATGGCCTCTTGACTCCCTCTCTCTTCCAAGAACACCTGATCCCAGGATATTAGGAAGACAAAGTAGTTGAAGAGGTATTATTTTATTGGATCAACTTAACCAGAGACAAGGTTACACAGAGCTCTTCAGCTTAAAAGCTTGGCTTTTACACCAACAGCACTTGACCCAATGAAGGGTATTATTTCACCCATGTTGTCTCTGTAGAGCTTGTATTGTCACTTGCAAAATATGGCCTGATACTACAATGTGATTTGTTAAAGCAGAGTCTTTATGGATCAGCTTGCATGATGTATTACTGATTACATTGTCGGTCTGAAAATTTGTGTGTCCATCTTGCCTTACAATGTTAGGTTTTTCTAAATTAAGACTATGTTGTTCATGAATAGTTTAGTTTAAGTTAATGAGACTATTTGTTTGCATGGCCATTAAGCACATTTTTTAGAACCAAGATTTAAATTGCGGGGAGTGGATATAATGGACACTGGGTGTGATCCACAAAGGATCTTGTTGCTGAAGCCTCATTTTTAGCATCAGTACCAGCCACAGAACTCCCACACAGCTTCTGCCTAACCTTGTAGATTCCTAGTTGGGGAGAGAGTATGTTTTTGCTTGTATGGCTCTGCTGCCTTGTTCTAGGCCTCTAAGTGCCTCAGATTAAGGATTTTAAATATTGGTTAATTCAATAGTCGATTAACCTCATGAATTCTTATCGGTTACTTGACTCGGGGGTGGGGCTGGCAGCCAGTATGCTCTGGTCTGCAAGGGGAGCCAGTTTAAAAATCAGCCCCTGTCTGGGGAGGGGCGTTGAGCTCCTGGACCCAGCTCAAGTCAGAACTGAGCTGTGCTTCCTGCCCACCTGTCTCCTAATACACTTTAGAAGCAAACAAACAAAAAACCCTCAAAGACCTGGCTTGTAAGTGAGAAGGGAAAAAGCCCTCCCCCAACTGAAAAGAGAAAAAAAAAGAGACTTCTCTGACTCCCTCCAAGTTCCTGCACCAAGGGGGGAGTGTAATGCGGACGCCCAGG